GTCCTGCACATCTTTTGAATGTCTTGCCAGAACATTCACATGGGTGAAAAGACAGCTCATAAGCACACGAGTCAAAAACTCAGTTTCACTTAACATACAAGAATTGGGTTTCTTTAGAAATGTGGTTTTATTATACACCCTTACTGGAGCACAACTACCTTGTTGAAAGTTGCATGTCAGTTATCCTTCATTTTGTTTGGGACTTCATCAACTTTTAATGCACTGTTCTGGAAAATCACATCGCCTTTGGCAACGTGGCTCACATAGTAGTTGGGTCACCAAGACACCTCTCCGCAAGTCTGCATTTGTAGCTTTCCCTTTCATGATGATTTTATGTGGTTCTATAGAGATCCCAATTTAGCCCTTATTCAAAATGTCAAATATAGAGGAAAAAGACAAATACTGCCTTCTCTGAAATGCATATTTACCCATTTTAAGTTCGTGCATCTGCCAACTTCATGTATGATTTTATTATCATGCCTTTCACTTTTAAAGTTAGGGTACTATATTTGTAAAATAATTATATGTGTAGGTAGGCGCATAAGAATTTGACTTCAGAATAGTAAAAGGAAGTTACAAAATATATTTGTTGCAAACAGGGGGTGCGGGGTCTGGTTTGGGTGTTGGGTGTTGAGGTTGGTTTGGGACTTACTGATGTACAAACAACAAAACCTGCAGGAAAACAGTAGATCTGTAGCTCTTGGACACGCCTTGAAAAGGCCCAGGTTTCCCTAGATGGGGTAAGGGGCACATTGGAAGGACTAATCAACCTATCCAGATCAGGGCCTGATGGGGATTAAAGCCAGGCCTAGAGCAACAAGGCGAGAGGGCTGGACTTGGTTTAGCCAGTCACAGAGTGCAGGCTGGAGTCTTACCTGGGCTCCCCCTGGACATGCATGGAGGGGTTAGACTAATAGTTCTGAGTGCCTACTGGGGTTGGACCCTGTGTCGGGTACATGTATCTGTTTCCTGCAATTGATACCACAGTCCTAGGGTAGATGCTATTAACCTTTGTTTTATAACCAAGGTAGCCCAGGCTCAGACAGTTAAACCAACTTGCCTGAGGCCACCCAGTGATCTCTAGGTGGAGGCCAGCCTGTCCACCTTCAAAGCTGTTCTGTCATTGCCGGCCCCAGCCAGTTTCCTTCTGCCCGAGGAAGTCTGTATTTATTTGGTTTTCAATGAGCAGTCACTCTCCGGTTTTGATGCTTTGCTGGGAGTGATTGTGCAGCCTGGATAGCAACGGGGGGCTTCCTCAGGAAAGCTGGGCTTCCTTGGGAAAGAACTCTTGTTTCTCAGGGCTTGGCCACTCTGACTTTTGGCTGAATTGGCACCTTGGATTTGTACCTCAGTGACCCACTGTGCCTTGCTGTTCATCCCATGGTGGCAACCTCTTGGCACATGCTCTCTGTCCCCAGTACTCCCATGTCTTCTTGGCCCTTAGCTCTCCTTCCCTGGTGGCCATTCTGTTGTGACCATCCCAGCCGGCTGCTCTTGGCTGGTTTCCTGGCCCTCCTTGGGCAGGGCATTCTAGGCTCTGTGAGTGGAGGTCCTCAGGGGGCTTTCCTGTGGGCCATTCCTTTCCAGGAAGGGTTCAGGGGTTCAGAAGCTACAAACTCCCTAAGACCTGCCCACAGCTCTGCCCTGAGCTGAGCTTCCACAGAGGGTCCCCAGTTGGGTGGGGGTGTCAGGGACAGGAATGGAGGCATGGGTAGCGTGCTCCTGCTTCTTAGAGTGGGGAGTGTGTGCTCAGGTATGGGGGGAGCGGTGTCAGTACTTATAGCTGGATAGCTGCCATTTTAAGCAGAACCAGATATGCTGGCATGAATTGTTTTAAAAGAAGCCATATGGGGAAAAAAATCCCAGACCATCTTCTTCTGTGCTCTGCCCCACCCCCGCCACTGCAAAGCCTTTGTCATCAGAGGGACTTTCAGTCTCTCACGGGCTCCCCACAGGCATTTCTAATCTCTCTCATCTTTTGTTATCCTGGAAGGCACCACAATGGCACCGAAGGCCACTTGGGGAGCATTAGTTCTCCTCCTCGTCCCCCATATGTTTTCTTCATCAACCTCCTTAAACTCTCCCAGACAGACACAAAATCTTGTAAAGACACTGTGCTTTCTCTACAAGCAGGATGTCCAGGGATGTACTCCTCAACGTTACTGTACATAGACATCACCTGAGATCTTGTTAAAATGTAGATTCAGATTGAGTAGGTCTGGGGTGGGGCTCCAAGAACCTGCATTTCTAATGTTCCCAGGTGATGCCAGTGCTCCCGATCGGGAAACCACACTCTGAGCGTCGAAGCCCCAGATGACCCCACTTCTGCCTCCCACCAGCCAGCTGAGCCCCTCCTTTGCAGAATTTCTGAAGCCCCTACTGTGGGAGTGTCTGCAGGAGAGAAGAAGGTTGGCATGGGCCTCTTTAGCCCATACTTCTTGCTTTTTCCTATTCCTCTTCTCTCTGATCTATAATTCCCTCTTTTATTTATATCCTCTTTACTCTCTTTTCTCTTGCTTTCCCCCAGGGGCCCACCAATATAGCCAGGACATGTAGGACCGAGAGTCAGTGGGGATTTTGTTCCATTTTGGTACAATGTGATTCTCCTGTGAAGGCTGAAGTTTTCTCCCTTAATCCTCATGCATCCTTTGTCTCTGGCTGTTTCCTACTTGATGATCCTCTTGTGATCCTTGACGTTATTCTGCAGTCAGGGGGAGTGTGGGGCAGAGGTGCAGAGGAGCCTGAAGTCACACACACACACACACACACACACACACACGCACATTCGGCTTCCGGGCTCTGCCAGGAACTGCCAGGAGTCACATTCCTCTCTTGGCCTCAGTTTCTTCCTGTATCTACTATGGGATTCAGCTGGAGAATAGCTGAAGACTTCTCTAGCTCTAACAGTCTTTGATTCTAATTAATCAACAAGCATATTTTAGGTCCTCCCTGCAAAATCTGAAGCCTCAACTTCCCATCTGAACTCTACTGCCTCCTCCTGTATTTCTTTGGGATAACCTTTTACCTTCTCTGGGCCCTAGTGTCCTTGTTGATAAGTTGGGAGATAATGAGTCACCTGATCTGGGCAAGTTGGGACATAAACAGGGCCTTAGATGTAAAGGTGTCTAGTGTAGTTGTTGGCAAAGTAAGTATCTTGGTCAGCTTGGACTGCTATAATGAATACGTCATACACTGAGTGGCTTAAACAATAGACATTTATTTATCACAGTTATGCTGGCTGGGAAGTCCAAGATCGAGGTGCTGGCAGATTCATTTTGTGGTGAGGGCCTCTTCCTAGCCTGCAAATGGCTGCCATTTCATTGTGTGCTCATATGATCTCCCCTTTGTGCATGCGTGGAGAGAGAGAACTCTGATCTCTCTTTCTCTTCTTGTGAGGACACTAATCCTATTATGGGGGCTCCACCCTCATGACCTCATCTAAACCTAATTACTTTCCAGAGGCCTCCACCATCACACTGGGGGTTAGAGCTTCAACCATGAATTTTGGGGGGAGAAACATTCAGTTTATAACAATAAAGATTAGTTGATATGGTTGAATTGGTTCGTTCATCTTGGAAGAATGAACAGACTCCTACTGTGTGTGGAGGACGAGTGAAGTTGTACTGTAGAGTGTAGGGAGGAGTCAGACGTGTATCTTGCTCTCCAGTTGGTGGGTACAGAGATTCTAGATTAATCTACATGATTAGGATGAGAGGTGGCAGCTAAGAAGGAGAGCAGTGATACCAGATCCCAGGATCTGAAGAAGAAAGAGAGCAGAGGGGTGGAAGATGGGGAAGGGGGAGGACACGCCTGGAATCCCAAAGTAGCTCTTGATGAGTAGGCATTGGCAGGAGGCCCTGGAACATTTTCTGACCCTTCAACACTGAGAATGCATGTCTATGGGAACAGCAGCAAGCGGGGTAAGGGTATGGGGTGTCGGTGCCTGATTCAGGAGCTCTAGATGGTAGAGATGTCTGCAACTTGTGATGGGGGGAGGGTGAGGCAGCCCAGAGAGAACCTGCTCGACTCTTTCAGGGTATAACCATTATGGCTTGGAAATGTGGAAGTGCTGAGAGGGTGTTCAGAGGAGGGCAGCGGTGATAACAAAGAATTTCATCCTAGGAGCACCAGATGAAGATAATAATGGTAGTCATGACAGCCTAAATTAGTGTCATGACAATATTTTGCAAAGGGATGGAATTGGGTACTCTCATTAGCGTCATTTTTGCTAAGATTTCAAGATTCCATCTTGGTGTCATTTTAAAAATCTGGTGAAAAAAATACTGTATGCAGATCACTGATCAGTTACATGCAACTATGCTGCCTTCCACTTCTGCTAAATTTGTGCCATGTTGACACGGGCAAGTCATGAAAAATGTATTTGAGATTTTGTTATTTCATCTGGAAATGAAGGGTGACCTTTATGTTCCTGGTGATGATTCCCAACATTGCTCAAGAAAATAAAGCAGGATTGGTAGCATTTTTGCCCAACACCTGTAGTTTCTGTTCTCCAATTTTGTGGGAGGAGAGGAGGCTGCGGACGTATTTTCACTAAGGGAGTTTTCATGTCATTTTTCTTCAAGCATCACTGACCTCGATGGAAGTCTCCAGGAAAGAGACAAGGGGCAAATCTCTAAGTCACCCATTAAAATCCCAAAGGGCTCTCTAGAGACCCACCTTGAGTTGTTATTTTGGATCACTTTGTACAGAGCTCTGCAGGCCGACTCTCTCAGGAGTTCCAAGCGACCAAATGTGACCAGCAACTAGGCTTTTTAGAAAGCAGCCTGAAGGAGAAGCTGGTGACCACCGGGGTGGGCCGGTGCACGCTTCACAGGAGCGCCCGTACACCCGCCCTTGCCAGGGCTGAGGGCGGCGCGCACGCGCCGTGGGGCCCGGAGGGGAAACGGCCTCGCTCCCGGGCCGGGGCGTGCGCGCGGCCGGCGGCGGGGCGGCGCACGCCGGCGCTGGGGAGCCATTTCCGGGCGGGCGGGAGGGGCGGGGCCGCGGCGGCCGGACCTCCAATCTCCTCGGCGGCGGCGCCAGGGGGAGCTCGCGGCCCGCCGCCCGCAAGGCTGTCGCGTGTTGAGGTGGAGCCGGGCCGGCGAAATAGTGCCCGAGGGAAGGCGCGGGGAAGCTGGGTCTGGGCTCAGGAGGTGGAGTGGCCGCAGCGGCTGGGGAGCAGGGAGGAGGGATTCGGGTTGGGGTGGGGGAGAGTCGAGACTGAGTGGGAGGCGGGTCCGCACTGGGTGGCGGGCGTCCTGGTTGTAGTGGGCGAACAGGGGAGGAAGGGCCGCGCGGGACTTAGGGGCTGGCGGATGCCGAGTCGGGGTGCGGGGCGGGCGCCGACCCCCGAGGTCCGAGTGAGTGGCAGGTTCGCGAGCGGGTGGGGGAGGGCGCAGGGCGGAGTGGGGCGGGGTCTGAAAGCCCACTCCCACGGCGGGTAGGAGTGCACCTGGGGCGGGCAGGACTTCTGACCCTTCGCCAGAGAAGAAGGGGTTCTGGGCAGGGAGGAATGAAGTCGAGCGAGGCCCTGTGGTTTCTAAAGGGAGTCCAGGGAGGCTGGACCCTGGGACTGGGCTGCCTGTCGCGTCCGATCCTCCGCCCCGTTGGGTTGAATAGTCTGGGCTTTGGGGGCCCGGGCCTGGTCGGGGGCGGGTTGGGCGTCCCCCGGGGTATCCACCTGGGTGGATTGCTTTGTGGGAGGCTGGGTCTGGATGCGTTTGCTCCGCCGTGGGAGGGAAGTACAGTGGCAGCAGGATTCTGATTCGCTGGGTTGGGGTGCGGGGGTGGAGTGTGATATCTGGGAGTGAAATCTGAGGTCTCGAAGGAGGGAGAGAACTGTTTCTTGACTGCTCTGTGGAGTCTAGGCGGGCCGACGAGACAGTTTAAAGCTTTAGAAGTAAACAAAGCCGGTTCCCTTTTGCAGAGCGGGGGCGCTGAGAGGACGGCTGAAGAGGAAGATGCCGGGTACCGACCTTCTGATGTCGGTGAGTCTTTCCCACACGCCGGCCTGGTTATAGGGCACTTGTCCCTTAAGTTTTATTTTTAGTCCCAGGGATCTGAGTGTGTGGATTTCCCCTCTGATGGTTGCTTTTGGTAGCTGAGCATTTCTGCCACGTTTTATTTTGGGTTCAATGATTAAGATGGATAAATGACTGAATTAAATATGTGAAATATATATGAAGAATCTTTTTCAGAGTTCTTGCAGTTGATTTTAATCTCTCCCTTCCCATACTACCAGAGCAATTTTAAAGCTGCTGTTACAGTTTGTGTGGATCTGCCCTATGTTAGTTTATAAGTGTATGTTTCCCAGACTAGAGTTATAATTCCCCAGTCGGCAGATATCATGTCTTATTTGTTTAGAGATGAATAAATACCTATCATGGTGTTTTGTATACAGCAAGTGCTTATCAAATGCTTTTGAATTGAAGTACTTTGAATTTTTCTTTTTTTTGGGCGAGGAGTATGCCTGCTTTGGTAGAGGCTGTTGCTTTCTCTCCTTCTGAGATCTTTCTGTGTTATTTTTTACTGAGCAAGGAGAAATAAATACTCATTTATTGCCAAATGAGTATTTACCAAAACGACGTTTTATTCTTGGGACGTTTATGATTCTATAGAGGCTCTTTAGTGTGGGGAGCCCATGGTTTTCAAATAGCTATATAGTGAAAATGTCTGTTTAGTTGTTAATAAGTCACTTCTCTGGGTCTGATGTCTCTTTGTGTAACATTGATTTAAAAACTATTCCTTTCCCTCTCTTTATCTCACTGTCCCAGAGAGTTGGTAGCTCTTGCTGGGAAATTTGCAAAACTAATAGGCAGTTTTTTTTTAAACCCAGTGCTGACTTCCTGTAGTGGCAGAACCCGTGAGGTCTCCGGGAAGGATAGAGAGGGGAACTAAGTCGAGATTAGTTCTGGTTTGCGGTGGGGAGCAAGGATGATTTTGGAGACATAGATAAATCCTTGGTTTACCCACAGATCATGGTGAAGAGTTCACCTAAAATAGTTTCTTTCCTCCAATTTCATGAATTGTCAGTAGATAATAAATAGCCTTATGTAATTTTAAATTTTTATTACAAGAGCAATATGTTAGAAAAATTGGAAACTATAAGCAAAAGGGCAACCCCCAGTAATTCTACTTCTCAAAGATAAGCACTTGTTAGCACCTTGGAAGGTTAACGCAGAATGATTTGTAACAATTGGCAATTTCTGGTTTCCTCTTATAGATCAGTATGTTTATGTAGGTTCAGATTCCTATATGCAGGTAGGATGTTCCTCCATGCCTGGAGATGTGCTTATGGTGCTTGGGCCTGTGTTTTCCCTTTAACAATTGGAGCGGTGAGTGCTTTTATTCAGAATATTGACTTTGGAATCAGTTTTGTTTTGAAGTGTTTCTCTAGCTGTTGCCACTGCTTTTCACTTCCTCAAATTAATTCACGTGGATAACAACTGGCCCTCGAGAATTATCACTCTCTGAAGACACTATACGTGTTGCTTGAGGTGTTTTCACTGGAAAAGGTGTTATTCCTTCCTTGACTGTACCTGTGCTCTTTGAGGCTGAGCGCTAGAGAACCAGTGACCCAGGCCTGGGTGTTCAGTGGGGGCGCTCTGCCGTCATGATTTGAGTTCAAGGTGTTTCTCCAGCTACTTTATATGTGCGTAAGACATGTTATTGGCCCTCTAATGGGGAAGAAAGGACCTCAGTTAATAAAAAATAACCTCAAAGCAGGGCAGCACGTTGCACAATCTCAGAATTAGAAACGATCTTAGAAGTCATGTGATGCAACTTCTTGCTTGTATTGTCTATATGAGTCCTGTTTAGAGCATCTCTGACAAAGGGATGTCCTGTCATCCATCCTTTCTGCTGGGGCCGTAAGACGGGCATAAGCGAGGACAGAGTACACAATGGATTCAGGATAGCTGAATTGTCTGATGGCTGACATTTATTGAGCATATTTTACATGTTGGGTAGAAAAATAGATACTCTACATAGTCATTTAGTTTTCACAAAAACCCTTTGAAAAGTATGCCACATCCTCCTTTTATAGGTGGAAAACTAGACTCAGAGAGGGTCCAACAGTAGTGAAGTGGTGTACCCATGTTTTTAGCCACGGTTGGTGACTTCAGATCTCTTCCTCTTCCCTACTTTGTGACTCTGCCTCTGGGTCACGTTCACCATAAGGGACAGAGGTTGCTGACCTCGCACTGATGGGAGAGGGCTTGTGTAGAGCAGAGGGGATGGGATAGCTCCGCTCTCTAGGGGGCGCTGTGGAAATCTCTGTGTGTGTGTGTGTGTGTGTGTGTGTGTGTGTGTGCGCGTGTGCTCGCGCGCGCACGCCCGTGCGCTTGCTTTTTTTCTTCTAGTATAGTGTTGTCTGAAAATACATGTTTTATTATACAAATCTTCTTACACTGCAGTTAACACATTATTTTGAAATTTAAAAAGTGATGTCTATAGGTATCATGTTGTAATCACTGATCTTCACTTGAGAATAATAAAGGGGCATTGCATTACAAAATATTTGTTATAAATAGAGGGCATTGGGTCTGATAAGATTGAAAACATTTGTATTGGTAGCATGCTATGAAAATAATACTTGAAGATCAGCTGGAGTCTGTATATGACAAACCTTGTATTCCAGACTAATGTGCTTGGACTGTCAGCCCCCAGTCCCTTCCTGACCTTAATTTTGTCCTCATTCAGTGAGGGTGGTTTGCCTGCCTTTTTTCATTTGCTCGTATGTCATGGATTGTAAGACTTTCCACCTATGTTGCAGAGAGAATAAAATGAGGAGTATTCATCTGAGGATTGCGATCCTTTCAGAGGGAATTCAAGTTGGGCAATTTTTTAGCAATCCTTTTCCATTTTTGGCAACCATCCTTTTCATCCATATTCTTGTCCTTCCCAGTGCCAGGGTCGGGTATCACTTTGTAAGTTGCCAAATACTTGTAGCTTTTCAGACAAAGGTACTTTGTAAAGATAAGTCTCCTTTCTTAGGTGACTTTCCTCTTTTCCCATCCAAATAGATGAATCAAGGTCATCATATGTGCTCTGGTAGTGCTGGGTGGAGTTTGAGTGAAAATTGTTTATCTAGAGCCATGGTTCTCAACCAGAGGCAATTTTGCCCCCTAGGGACCTTTGGCAATGTCTGGAGACATTTTTCGTTGTCACGCTTGAGTACTTGAGGTCATGGGTGCGACTGAACGTCCTACTATATACACAGTCCCCTCAACCAAGAATTATCAGGCCTAAAATGTCAGTAGTGCCCAGGTTGAGAAACTGTGGTCTCGGGTTCCTTAATACAGATAAGGGTATCTGTAGCCCATGCGTTCATGTAGGTGGGGGATGAGTCTTTTCTTTGAGTTAAATGGGTCTGTTACAGTGTTACTTTGGGTTGTTTTGCCCATGGATCAAGTCCTGCTGCTTTAGAATATAGGAGATCATATAGCAGGATCTTCTGCAGTGCAGGAAATTCTTAAGAACTGCTTTCTCAGCAGTGTTTGTGCAGCACTCTTTTCTTATTGGGAAACAGCAAACCCCTCGTTTTGTTTTTCGGTCCAGATCTTAGAGCTTTCTCTTTGACCCTTGAATCTTTTTCAGGGAGGCTTTCCTTCTGAATCTCAAATGGGATTTAAGCAATAAACTGGAATATCAACACTAAAAGCTCATTTCTGTTATTTGAATCTGGTGTCTTCTTTGTAGGATTGTCTAGAGAAAGGGAAAATTCATTGGGACTGGTAGGATGTTTAAAATTTTGTTGACAGTTTGAGTGGTGCTTGTAGGAGGAACTCTATTTGGCATTGTTCCAATCTTATAAGTAAAGCAGAACCATAATAACAAGTATGATAATTTCTCCAGCCTTTGGTCTAAAGGAAAGTACAGTTATAAGAAGATAAACCCCAAATCCCAGTATTTAACTTGGCTTTGCAGTCTGTGTGTCAGGAATTTTTAGTAACCTTTACCTTCTTAATTGGGCTTTGCCCACAATCTAATATTACATACAGTTTGTACACACATTAGTGGCAGAATAGAGAATCAGCCTGGGATTAAGAATTTCCCGTAGAGGATTGATTTTCAGTGCATCAGTTCATATGTGGAAACATACAGAACCCAATTACTGCGAGAAAAACCGTGCTATGGGGTAAGGGGATATGGGAGCCATCTGGGAAGATGGAATAGTGCAGGCAGAAAGTAGTTTGTTGGGTATATCAGTTGTCTCCTGGCACACTTCAACAGTGTGATTGAGGAGATGGAGGGACTGTTTACAAAGCTGGGCAGGACATAGAAAGACCAACAGGTTGGTGACACACCTCAGGGCTAAGAGCCATTATCAATCTTAGGCCTGAAGGGGCAAGAGAGGGAGTAGTTTCTAGAACCTCGAGAGAGCTTAGCTGAAGAAGAGGATAACCTGTAGGAATATGCAGCCATTGCCAACCAGTGGCTTCTCTGGAGGGGAATTGGGGAATAAATACCTCAGACTCTTTCTTTTCCCACCCTCTAATCTCCTGCTGGAGCCTCTCATTGGTCAAACCCAACTGAAACCAGAGGATAAGGGAGGCTGGGTGATTTAATTCACGGAGGGCAGTCCCATGAGGCACCTAGCAGAGTTGGAGGAGGTTGGGTAGTAGAGGATGTGGAGGAGCAAAGGGAGGAGATGCAGCATGCTGAAGTCAAGGTCAAGTTAGTTTTGAGAGGCACAATGAGAAGATAGTGTTTGAGCAGTCTTGAAGAATGGATAGGACATGGCATGTTATAGAAAAGGAATGTTCTCACTGATAACAGAAGGATAAATTCAGAGGCGAAGTGTCACTGTAGCTTTGGCAAGCCGGGAGCTGCTTTTCCCTCGTAGTCTTATATCCTAATTGCCTGAAGGGCCTTTAGAAATCCTGCAGTCTGGCTTCCCTTGCTGTAGGAATCCCTTCCGCAGCACACTACCAGGAGTGGGTGCAGAATACCTTCTCAAGGAGTTCTTTGCATTGCTGGACAGCTT